TATATATCTTTGTGTGTGCCCCACAAGCGGTGGCCTGTTGGTTGGTCGGGTTCACTATAAGTCCCATCAGGTCACGGTTTCGATCCCCAATGACATTGAGTTCTCAAATATTTAGGCACATGACGCCGGCTGTAATATATATATATATATAAAGTTAAGATTCTTTTGAAAGCTATAAAAACAGGTCAAGAGATATATGGAAGCACAATGATTGTCCACTAAGACGGTGTTTAGCTGCAACTTAGATTTATATTTAGTAGGATTTATCAAATCCGATAAAATTTGATTCATCTTCGGTGGCATAGTTAGAAAGCCATGACGGAATAAATCCAACTCTCCATTCCAACTCTCCATCGAATTTAATAAATTCATATTTACATTGAGAAAGAGACGGAACATAAAAAAAAATAGACAGAACATGCGGAAATTTGTTTTAACCGAATTTAATCTTCAAATTTTCAATATTTGATTGGATTTAAATTAAATACATAATTAAATTCTATTAATAATAAGCTACCACAAATCGCCTAAATATATATATTTTTAGGACCTTTTAAAAAGAAATTGAAATGGACTTATCAAATTGTGAGATAATTGAAGTAATCCAAATCTAATTCTCACTCCGAATTATTCCCCATGAATTCTCGCAGACAAGTAGGAAAAATTATTACGTCCGGACTTCGGATGTAGAGATACGTCCGGAGTCCAATGAATCACCTTCGCGTGGAGCTGGCAGAAAAAAAAAAAAACTTGTTTTGTTGTGATCTGGCACGGTAACACAGGAGACTTTTCCTCCAGTGTTAACCTGCGTTATTCAAGTGTTATTGCGGTGATATTAATATGCTATTGTGTTATTATAACACTGAGAATATTTCAAGAACACAATAATACATATATATTATCATAATAACACCTGAATAAAGTGAAATAACACGAAAAAAAATATTCCTCTATATTAAAAAAAAAATTATTTTTCTGTTATCTACACGTGACGTGATATCATTATAATCCGAAATATCTTTACATCTGGACGAAAATTTTCTACAGACAGTAGATACTTAGCACAAGA